TGCTAATTGTATGCACCGGTGGATAATTTTCTGCACATGTCATCGCTATATACAACATACGTTTGACACACGTTTGGATTTTTGTTACATTGCTCATGCGAGAAAAGAAGGAAATTCTTGAAAGAGACAGCACGATGCTTGAACTTGGGGGATGATGTTCGAATACCAACCTTATAAACTGGCATAATCGGTGAACTTTTTGCAATTAAGATAATTGACACAATCTTTTTAGCGTTTGATGGAAAGTCCTGAAATTAAGGTATGTAGAGAGACAATCTTTTTTTGCGAATTAAGTTTCATCGCGGTTGAAATACATCGCTGGTGAAACAGATAGTTTCATCAACTTTACATTATGGAAAATTTGTGGTTCCTGGTGAGAGACATAGAAAACGGGTCGAAGAAAGTTACGTCGTTTTGTCGAATCGTAGGAAAGCAGTTGGATTCTCTTTCCTTTCTTTTCTGTTTCGCTCCAGTGACGAAGAAAAAGAGTTTATTTAGTTAGCATATTGATCATATCTCGTACAAGCTTCTAAACAATCTTAACATCCCATCTTTGAGACGCTACATTCGAATCGAATTTGAAAGCAAGGACATATTCACAAACTTTTCCCAAAGGTATCAAAACCAGCAAATTTGGAATATTTTAGTTAAAAACTTTTATTATCGACGATATATTTTGGAGTAAACTCGCTGCCAGAAATGTTTAAAACGCTCAAATTTTTAAATCACGAGTGAAAAAATATGCCGCAATATTTTTATTGATTTTCTGATTTTGACACGTTTAAAGAGAGAAGTAATCTGTCAGATCCACAGATACAAGAGAAATAGATGCCACCAAATGATGCGTACAAAAAAATCAACGTCAACCATAACTCATATTAATCTACAATCGATATTTTGGATTATATTCTCAAGAGGATAACAAAAACACGCATATTTAATCTGCACAACCAAATAAAAATATGATTCGAATATATGGATATTATAATTTGAAATTAGCCGAGAGTATTCTGAACTTTAATTTCATAAAAAGACAAACGTGATTTTTCACGGATCTACGTATCCCCCCGTAATATTTTCCTAAACATTATACACAGATAAAAAAAAAAAGAAAAAGAAAATTATGAAGAATTATCGTAACACTATAGAAGTACATGTCTCACTTTCCCAATCGATATACCGTTCTAGATATCCGAGAATCAATTTTTTACGTTCCAGTATAGATCGAACACCTTTACACTGGGTAGAGAACCGTCGCTTGTAAACTATGAAGAAGGTCTATTTACTAGAGTAACCGAATATAATCAACAAAGGGAACGTGGACTACGCCAATGAAGGAAAAAGTCAATCGAGAGACAGCTGTTAGTAACACATGTGGCAAATCGACCTCGTATTTGTCAGGGATTCGTGAAAACGCGAAGGGGTCTTAGAGAGATCTTTCTGAAAAATTGTTGCTTATTTTTGCACTCGTCAGACATAACTTTTACGTCAATGGCGCGCCGAAAACGTGATCTAGAGGAATTCTGGAATCCACGAAACGTGTGGATCGTTTGTGACAAAAAGATTGTGTTCGGCGAATGACGAGAAAATTTGTTTGTACATTAAGTTTCAGCCTTTGAAAGAGAAAGCAAAACGGAAATATTAAAATACGTAATTCGAAAATATGTAATTTTATTTATTTTTTCGAAATATTTCGTTTCAACTATATTTTGGCCCGCCAGCGATGTTTCAAAAAGAATGCACAGAAATTTAGGTGTACGTTCGAGTCATCGAGAGAAGATTATATTATTAGAATAACGAGTTTAAACGAGTTCTGAACGAGTTTGAAGAAGACAAAACGAGACGTTTGCGTGCAATTCAATGGAGGACGCTCCTATTTTTTTTATACTCGATATTCGTCGTACGGGCATATCTTTGTATAAACATTTTTACTTGTTTCTGTACATAGAACCTAGAATCGAATCTTTTATCTGTCTTCTAGAAATGCTCTTTATATAATTCGACGATAATTTTAGATCATTGTTTCTACGTAGAGCTTTACTTTTAGAATCGAACGTTTCGAATTTTGTTTATTTTATTTACGCTTCGGAACACCGAAGCGAAGTGTATACTCGCTTTTATTAAGAAGCTTGCCGCATAATTCGCACGGAATTCGTTTACGGAACATAATAAAATCATTCATTTCCAAAAGTAGAAATGAAACAAAAAAGGCGTCTTCTACCAACGATGACACTCATATTACGTACCACTTCAATATTCAGTTTACATCTTTCTATTGCCTAGAAGATAACTGGCTTATACTCAAGAAAAGCAAAGAATATTGTATTCGAGACGGATAAAGAGCCGCTTATTAACTGTTCATGACTAAAAAATACCAGAATCGTAAAAAGGTAAGGGTCACTCTTTATTTCGTTCAAACATTTTCCACAAAAAGAGACTAAGAAACAAGAAAAGTAAAAAGAAAAAAAAATCAGAACAAATTAATTTAGCAGAAAGGAGACTTTAAATAGAAATAAACTTTGTTTACCTTCGTCTTTTGCTTGAGAAACTTGGAGATCTTAGTGATGGGATTCAGAAACTTTGGCCTCGGCATTTTGACTAGATTCTTTCGCCTCTGAAGTAAAAAACTCGAATTTTCAGCCTCCACCGTTTGATCACTGCTATACTCTGATATATATTTCTCCCTGCGATTATGATCACGCAGGAAACAGTTTACATTATGCGGTTTATTCTGCGTCTCAACGCCGGTCCAAGATCTCACTGCGATCAGATCAGTCGCCGTGGCGCAAACCTTTCTAGAAGCGAACGTACCGACCCGCGTCTACTAATCGCGCTGAAAATACACACAAGTGTATCGTCGAAATTTCAGACCAATACGCGCGACTGTGTGCTCTTAGAAAACACTTTGCGATGCTTCACGCCTATCTATCGACGTGAACTTTGCTTTCCTTTTGCCTCGAAGATTTCTGTCTTTTTTTCCTTTTGCCTCTCAAACTCGCGATAAGTGTGCTTATGTTTGGATGAAATGTAATTGATCCGAATGAAACGGTCAATAAGTCACAGTGATATTACAATATACGTATACAATGTCGAAAGCTCAGAAGGAGGACTTCTGGAATCGAAGCTTCGTCGGTTCGAACTTGCCAGAGCTTTTCTGTGACTGAAATTATGTTCGCGGATAGATATGACGTTAAATTCGATTTGTTCGTTTCACGATCGATCGTTTCGGGTATGCACGCTTCACTTCGCGAGGACTGAAGCAACACTGTATCACCGCGCTTTCGGGGTGAGTCTAATACTCCGATCCTAGGAGAAAGGCGTGGTGGGGAGGGGATAAACTCGACGCGCAACCCGGTTTGCGCAGCACGTGCTGCCGGTGCGCGCGCTGCTCTTCCATTCAAGCGCGTATCACGCTACCAATTTGGATCAAAATAGTCTCATTTTGGATACTCGTTTCATCGTTCGCATCACATTTTTTATGAACCGTGAACAAGCCTTTCATGAGTGGATAAATCAATGGAATATTTCTTTTGCCCATTTTCACTTACGTGAAATTGTAAACTGTTTAAACAGAATCGATTCTCGACTTGGAAAATTGTATAGTTTATAGAGTTCGATTTAGAGGTTCTTACAAAAGGGAAACATTCGCTTCATCGTTCGTATCATTTTTTACATCTATTGACAAGCCTTTCAAGTGGGTGGATAAACGAATGGAATATTTTCTTTGCTCCATGATCGTTTCGTACTTATATGAAATTGTAGACTGTTTAAACAGAATCGATTGGTTTTTATAAAAGGGCAACATTCGTTTTGTCGCTCGCATTAATTTTTAGACTCGGGGACAAGCCTTTCGTAGCTGCATAAATGAATGGAATATTTTCCCTGCTCGATGATTATTTCATACTTATATGAAATTTCAGACTGTTTAAACACGATTGATTTCCAGCTTGGAAAATTGTATAGTTTATAGAATTCAATCGAGAGATGGTAAATATCGTAAAAAGAAAGACTATTTTAAAGACTAAAACGTTTTTAATTGTTGTAGAAATTTTCAGAAAAATGGCCAGACGGCTGCTTCGTAGTTAGACGATTTCTAATTTGGAAAATCCTTGTTGGCTTAATATAGGGAATTATAAATTAAATTTCAGAGATGATTGATTACGATGGATACATAAGAAAATCTGATCCGTCGCATGCAAGGATTCGAAGCAATTAGCGGTACACTTGATTTAACTTGGTCAACATAGCGTGCACATAGTCACGTCCGCCTTCCACGACGTAGTAAAATTATTCTCCGTACCAAATACGATAATAATAATCGCCTTTTGCCTCAGAATCAGACAATCGTTTTCGATATTATTGTAATGTAATTCAAAATCCTTTGGCTATAAACTTATTAAACTTGTGATTTAACTTGTTAAATCAATTATTTAACTATGATCTTTCGTGTCAATAGGATTGAAGTTCTACAAGATTATTAACGATTAGAGCTTATCTATTACTGTTCCCATTCTATTTTGAGAAATAGGACAAAAGTAAATATCGCGCAAAAGCAAACAAAAAAATGTGACGAATAACGAAATCATAATCGAATGTTTTCATTGCAATTCGCGCTATCTTTAGAGATTCCACGCAGTTACTATGTACAAATATTTTATTCTCATGTTCTCAATTATACAGTGCGAGCCATTGAACTTCTTATGAAATATCTTGAAAATAGAACATATACATACTGTATATAAGAATATTTTTCTGCCGATTGCGTAATTGCAATTGATACTTATTATTGTTTGTCGAAACATATCGTAAGAAATATTGCAAATTAATCTTCATTTCATTTTACACGCATCTTAATACAGTAAAAAAAAAAAAAAAAGAAGAAAAAGTCAATCTCTTAAGCGTATTATTCTTGACTTATTTTACACGATATGCAACACATACGCGTCGATTGTTACCAACTGGATTAATTTTCTACACGTTACGCATCATGCAAATGTCACGTGTGTTTTTGTAAGGTACGATCTCTGACATAAGTTCAATTACAATCGCCAATGACGACTCACAGCACCAACAACTATGAGAACATAACAGCCGCGCGTATGGTATTTCACTTTTTGCTCTGTTCGTTTTGCACGCGACGATAAAATATTCATACTGAATGCGTTTCTCGAGTTTATTTAAACCGGAGGGAAAACTACTGGTGTTTGACAATATTTCGCGCTCTTGTCGTTAAACACGAGTTTCGAGACTCGTACTACTGGTTGTTTCATCTTTGATGAGAAATTTTGTTTGCTTACAGGAGTGAGAAGAAAATTTGAAATTATATGTTAAAAATTAGATACCATTAATATCAACGAATCGAATAATTTATGCAAAAACCAACGTGTGTTTTTTTATACAATAATTGACGATTTTGCGCATGGAAACACAAGTTTATTCAAAATAAAAGTTAACAACGTGTTAAGATGATACAATCGATTATAGTTCCTTAATTTTCAAAATACTAGATACTTTTTAAGGATATGTATCACGTGCAAATGACGAAAAATCAGATAAAGTTATAGCGGATTTAACGAATAAATTTAATATGAACAAATAATTTCGAAAAATACTAATTTAATGTTCAACTCTATTGAGATTAATTATTGTTATTAATTATTGTTATTATTAATGTTCATGGGACTATCGATGATGAAACAACCAATATAATATGAAACGCTTCTAAGTACCAACGTCGCGCGTCACCTTTTGCACTCTGTTAATATCATGCGACAATGCAGTTAACGTTTCACGATGTAGTAGAGGAGACAAAGTCAGCAGTGCGCTCTGCTCGAAACCGCGTAATTTTCACATTGAAAATTTATTGGATATTTCCCCGTGTTTCCCGCCTATCACAATTCCAGACCAGAATTCCCGGAGTTGAAATAAAACGTGCGTCTATTGTGAGGTTGTCAGCGTTTTCTTAAACGTTAAGATGAGAACTTTCGAGTATTTCCTGTCCTATAAAAATTTCATCTTCTTGGATTTGAGTCCTTCTCAAGTGAATTGGAATTTTCTATCGTTAAAGGATTTCTAAAAAATTCGTAGAAAACAGAATTGTTCTTAATACGCGTGATTTTCCGTCCCGGAATTTCACGTTGAACATTTTCTTCAATTGTTAAAAATCATCGCGCTTGTGAGCGTGACGACGATTGAGAACAAATTTGGAGACCGGAAAAGAGCTAATTACGCTTAAGAAAATATAAATTTGCATAAATATCCGCGGTCTATCTATTGAAGAGAAAAAAAAGAGAAGAAGAGGGAAGAAAATGATAGCAAAAGAGAGAGAGAGAAGATGGAGAGCAGAAGGAGAGAAATGGAGATGCAACTGAGAATCCCTGTCCGGTAATATTGATAGCGGACAATTACGCGTGGGCCGAGCCGCAGATGCGCAAAAACGCCAAGAATAGAAGCTCGTAGCAGCTATATCTATGATAGACAACTTTAGAATCCATCAAATCCAAACTTCGTGATAAGAATCTCCATCGTTATTCAAGCCCGAAGAAACACACATAAAAGAAAAAATGAAAAAAAAAAAGATGGAACACACGAAACACGTTTCATCGCTGTTATTTTACCAATTAACGCCTCGTTAATCTTTTCTAATATCTTGCATAGAGGCGTTAAATACCAATAGCACGAACAACATAATAAGATCGTGTTTTCTGAATCATCTCAAGGCGCTTCATCTAAGCGACTGGTAATGCAAATTACGAAGATTAATGAACGTCTACCGACGTATCTGGTCCGCATAACGATTTCAAGCAAACAAGCAGCCAGATTTTTATGTTTCATGGAAAATTACTGACAAATTCCATGGTGCAATTTTCCAACCGGTCTACGTGATGTCAATACGTCACGTACATCACACTCTGACGCGATGCAGATAATAAAGAGGATTACTTTATCAAGAATTTAATCCTCTGTACTTAACTGTTCTCTCCAAATACGGGATAAACGTATAGAAAATTCAGTTCGATGATCGTTAATAGGTAGAAATATGGAAAGGTGGTAAAATCGGTCGGCTGTTAAGCCACAAAGGCTGTTGCAGGTGAAAGTTTACTGTGCATTTTTCTCTTCAATTATAAAATATTATATATAATTTAATAAAATTATAGATCAGTGAAATCAAATGTTTTGTTATTTTGTTTAATCGCGAGCTCTTAGAGGCTGTTATGGGTGAAACGCACGCACCATTACTGCGTCACATTTTGTTTAAATTAAAAAATTAATATAGCTAAGCGCGATGAAATATTTTATCATTATTCAATGCAATATTTGCAGCTTTTACGATATTATTACAACTAAATATACATCCTATTCCAACAAACATTTATTCATTACAGCAAACTTCAACATTGTTGACATGACATGAGTCAATATCCAATAAGATAAAAGTTGAGAAAGAAAAGTAATGTCGGGGTCTATACAAGTGTAGCTCTAACTGAGATTAATACAATTGTTAGTGCTATTTTATTTATTTGCTTTATTTTACGATCTTAATATGTTATAGTTTCTTAATCTTATCTTAATCGTTTCTATTCGCTACACAAAGAATTCGAAGAATTTATCATCTAATATTTAGTCGTTGCTCGAGCTACAACTGGACAATGGAGGTGTCGAATTGGACCTTCGTTGCTACGTGAAACGCGTATGCAAGGTATCCGCGATCATTTAGGAACAATTAGACCGAGATATTTGGATAATAGGAGAGCTGAAACGACAGCAGCGGAAATTTTTAGAAATTCAACTCTGACGAGAGACAACGATCATATCTTATTTACACTCGATCATTGTTTTATCGTCGACCAGCTGTGTTTTCAGAGCTACACACGATTTCGCACGCTAACGAACGCACGATAAGGAAAGTGTGACTTGCATACAATTAATAGGCACATGCTGTTGTATTTTGATACTGTGTGCAAATTCGTAGTCTATACGGACAATTTAGATTTCATTTTCATGGATTCGATATTCGTTAAAATGATCATTCTAATAAAAAAAAATACTGCAGATAAGAAAACGAATAAAGAAATTACTTAATCAACGTTTACTTTTATAAATATTGTGTGACTGTGAATTTATAGCTCGTACAGAAAATTCCATTTTTTTAATTTTTCTTTAAATATTCAGTACACGTAATTTCGGCGAAAAATCGACGCGAATCGACAAAATCATTATCGACACGACTTTAATTCCAGCGTTAGGAGAAAAAAGAACTGAATAAATGATCGCATTTTACGAGCGAAATAAATCAACATATGAAGAACCATCGCTATTCCAATCAGTTTATTAAACACAGTCCAATCAATCCTTGTTCGAGATTTCATAGCTTTTTGAATAACAACAATGGACGATCGATTGATCATTCAATTTAAGCAACGCGCTGCTTCAAAGCGAAATTAACTTTTTACACGTAGTTTCAATCTCTTTGATTATTAGCCTTTGAAGTTGCTTGCCGCTGGTAAAGCACGTGCATTTTATATGTAAGTATAGAATATGAAGCATACTTAATTTGATATTTATAATACAATGTACAGCGAGGCACATGATTGATCGCCTATAGATACCCATAGACAGTGAAAGGGTTAATAACAAATCAAATTGCACATTAGAAATTGACGAACCATAAAGAAGATAAGGCAGGAAGGAACAAAAGGTTCGTATGGGAAGCTCAGAGTTTTAATTCATAATGCTATTAGTTTATAATTTATAAGCGTTTAAAGATTTCCGGGGAATCTGTGAAACTATTTCTAAAGAAAATGTGACACAGACAGAAGAACAGTTCTGCTCCATTTTGGACTATTATTTCTACAACGTCAGGAATATTTGAAGGAATTCGACAATCATTAATTCCACGAATGAAAGACTGCATTCTTGCAGAGGGAAGAAATCTCGAACGTTCATTACAACTGCCATGAAACAATCAATGAAAATATTTGCACTTGCTTACAACTGCTTGTAAATCCTTACAGTTCTACGATAAAGCATTTTCGAAAAAGAGTTGACACGAGCATTTTCTATCTTTTGACGTTATTAACGCAAGTTTCCTCCCGATCTTACACAGCGTTACTCTCCTCTCAATACTTCATATGTCGAGTATTTTATATTTACCACTATTTATTACACAGATCTGGAACACGAATCGCACTTCATTTGCTACATATTATCGTAATAGATGCAGCGAGCAATATAGTTGAACGAACGTCTCATAGACGCTCGTAATAGACACTGAAAAGGTTAATAACAAGTCGGACTACAGAATTCGAAATGAAGGAACGTTATATCTGAAATCACAAGCAACAGATGGCAAGGAGAAACGATCGGAGGAATGCATTGTTTATCCTGCCCGTGTCCAGCGACGTGTTACGGGCTGGCGCCATGGTTCTCGCTAGCCGGGCAATTTTAGCGAAGTTTCGTGGAGCTAATGGAACGAAGATGGAATGTTGGCACGGTTCCGAGAGAGCGAAGGTGACGCGTTCCAGCGTGTCCTCGGACCACGGTGTGAAACAACTCGAGGACGGAAACATCGTCTACGGCGACTTGTTTTTGGAAACACGACGGAGGGTTCGCGAGAGGCTAGAATCCGCTCGTTGCTCGCGTGTTCTACGTCGATCGTACTTTATGCAATCCTCACTTGGTATTTTCGAGCGATACGAGCAGAGTTTTGGAAGCAGAGCTTTTGAAAAAGTTTGCAGAGGGAGAAAGAACGTGAGTTCGAGGGAAGAAGAACGTGGCCATTGAAATATGGCTCTAAGAATAATTATACCGAGATATACACGTGTTTAGAATGAAATGACGAGTGAGAATCTTTATCGTCTTTGATGTCGATCTTTTCGATACCGATCTTTTCCATTCCTTTAATTTTAACGTTGATCGTAAATTTAGTAGCGTAGTTTCCTACAGAAATTGTCTACAGTGACTAATGCTGGTCCAAGGAATACATATTTGATTATTATTTTATCGACACGCGTTATGTTTATTTTTCTTCTATCTCGCGAATCTAACAGGTTCTTTTCTTTTCTAGCTATTTCGTGTTTAAATATTCATCTTCAGTGAGAACGTGGTATTGAAACTTTTTTCTATCTTTCGGATCTAACAGGTTCTTTTCGTTTTCAAATATTCGAGTTTAAATATTCAGCTTCAGTCACAGCGTGATGTTAAAATTAAAAACCTGACGGAGGTGTACCGGTCACGTTTCTGTTTCTACGGATCTTTGTATATTTACGTTCGTTTTGTTCCTATTAGAAAATGAATAGAATTCGCTAATGAGTGTCATGCACAGAGTTTAGAAACGGACGAAGGATAATTTTAGCCCACGATAGCCCTTCGCGTATAGATATGATAAACAGGGTGAGATACGTGCAATCGACATAGAACATCGACCCCAGTCAGGACCACCCACTACTGAAACTAATCTATTTTCTACTCCATAGAGGAGCAGTTCAGTTTTCCAAAAGTTCGACGAGTAATGATTGATATACTTCAGGTTCGAAGTTGTCCAATTATAAACGCACAATTATGCGGCCAGTTTTCAACATTTCCATTGTCATTGACGTCAATGGATTCACCGTTGAAAATAACCTTGGCACATTTGCAACATCTTCGAAATCTTTTGTCGTGGCTCGACATAAAAATGTCTCAATGGAAAAAACAACGAGTGAAATACGGTTACTTAGAAACCAACTTGCATTAATATCGGTGTATCGTAGAACGTTCAAACGTTAATATTTACAATTAGCCTTAACCGAGGATAGGGATAAGTGCACAGGCTGTTCACGCTGTTGGTTATCAGCGTTTTTCTCGTAAGTAAGCAACGAGTGTGAGGGAAAAATGAAAGTTGGTAAATATGAATGATTCAAAATGAGTTATACGTTCACGATAGTATCTTTTTTCGCAAGCGAAAAAATACATGTACATCTTGCTTGACTATGTCTTAAATGAAAATCTTCCTCTCTTTGCGTACATCGAATCCTCTCGTCAGTCCACGAAAAAAGAAAACATTATGCGAAATATAATATGGTCGAAGGCTGATTACTTTAGAACATATTTTGCCCTTAATTTTATAAAATATCACATGAAAAAACAGGGAACGACGTAACGCGATATTCTTGTATTTATGTTTTCTCCATCTTACATACGACAGATTCATTTAAAACATAAAAGCGCACGTGCATCTTTGTACCTGCGAAAAGAATGTCGTGAATACGTAGTTCGCTTTGCAACATTTTTCCTCATACTTATCGTTTGCGAGAAAAACCTTGGGAATTAATAACCTTGGACACCCTGTACAATTGACTAATTATTTTTCCTCGTATATACCAACAATAAATACCTATAGTCACATTGTAGCTTCATTTGAATTACTAATGGTAATTATTCGTGTAATCTTTCCAAGTGGTACGCTTATCTCTACTTATATATATATATATATCAATTTTAATTATTCTTACAGTCTCCTGCAACAAACATCAAATAAACAATAATTGTAATCTTGGTTTAAGAAACGATTATGGTCACGCTTACTATCATCCAATCACTAACTACAGTATTTTTTATCATCGTCCTCAATGATTATTATCATTCATATTCCATAAAAGACACTTATGGTCACACGTAAAATTCTTCTTCAATGAAAAGTTCATCACATCGAACATTCGACAGCGGATACATACACAGGCTTTAGGAAAGAGTAAGAGCGTTGTAAAAATAACCATTGATTCACAGTCGTTGCTTTTATTGCTGCAGTGAGCAAGCAGGATTGTTCACGTGCGATGAACATCTGTATTTGGCAAACGATATCATCGTCGAACGGAAGCAGTGACGTAGACGAGTCGCGAGCGACCTTCCGGAAATAAATCGGTCACAGCGGCATCATCCGAAAAGCATTTTGGTCTCATTAACCTTCCCCCACGATGAAAAACGATCTATGAGGATCACCGCGGGCTTTGGGCGTGCGCGCGCGCGCAGACAAAGCGATCCGATCGGACAAACCGCAGGAAATCGTTGAATATTTCTGGAACGAGATTCACGTAAACAAGCGTCAAACATTTTCATGCTCCATGATTTGTTTGTTTTTTTATACAAAATTTTCGAAGGAAATGGTCCCTAGTTAATCTCGAAATTATTAAAAATTTCAGCAAGATTTGTATCTTAAAGCATCGTTGTAGTTGACATTCGAGATTAGACCAGTTACTTCTAAATTGATGTGATCTGCGAGCTGAGAGATCTTCGCCTGAATCGATTTTGTATCGTGCACCCGATGATTCTTGATAATAAAGCTCTTCTAATGAACATGCAAATTACTCTGGTATTTTGATACTTAAATTTTGGAAATCTATGTAGCATGGAATTTGTCTGTCATCTATAAAAAAAAGAAAAATGCAGAGAATCCGTATAAGATTTGATTTTATATCGCTTTATCTTCATAAAGATAAACTCTTTCTGATAAACTCTTCTTTCCTGTTTTTACATTTCTCGTGTAGTGGCATGTTTATAATGCAGTGGATGTGAATCATGCCGCGAATAATCCGTCTAAAGACTAAACGAATGATCAGCTGTACGAGACGAGACGGCAGTGAGAATCCAAAGCTGAGCGTACAGAGAACAGCATGCACGTTTAATATCCACACGCGACACACGTCGGGGTATATTTTAGCCGAAGAGGCCGTTGGTCTGGCTCTAAATACAGAAGAGAATGTTCAACGCGATTTGGGCGACGATTAAAACCGCCCAGTGAGGTGTTCGACCGAACGAAGGGGTTCAAGAACGACGAAGACACACGACTATTTCTGTCTCGAAGTATCATCGGTACGATATAGTCTGACGAGAAACTCGAGGGTTACGTGGTTGATCGATGTCGATAAACCTGATCTTAAGTCTCGTTCGAATTAATCAAGCTAGCTAACGATAACGTTAACCAACTTTCTCTTAACGCGTTACATTTGCAAATTTTTCCCATCAATTTACATTCTCCAATTCTGTCTTCCACAGTCTCGTCCAATATCTTCTCCACGCTATTTCTTTCATCTAGATTCTATAATTTTATGAAATTTAAAGAAATCGAAATATGTACGACATTAAAAAGACAAAAATTCAAACGACACAAGGCAACTTGGAATCCTGCGACGGGCTAATCGACCCATTTGAAATTTTTCTTATTCCCTTATATAAAGTTCTACTATGTTACAATTAATAACATTCCACATTCTTGTTTCATCAGCAGCTTCAAATCTTACCAAATGATATATTCGAATTTCAAGATGGCTTTTATTCAAATCGTTTCAGCTCAACATTTCCTTTCACCTCTGACATCCATCTCGTTAATTAGCATTTTCCTCCATGCACGTCGCAACAATAACCGCGTACACCGTAATATACCTAACTATCGGCCAGTCAATGAAGCGGCAAGAAGCGTTTTGGGACAACAATGACGCAAAGGAAACGGTGGGTTAGGCCGCAACATCGCGTGACAACGGTGCAACGGTAGATCCGGAAACAAGTAGAACAAGTAGAAGAAGGTGTGGCAGACTGTGTACAATCTATGAGGTGCGTATCTTTTATAGTCAATATCGAGCAATTTGAGTTTGTGCCTATTCTGTAATAAAAAATGATCGACAACGGAGGAGTGGGGAATCGGTACCTCCGGGTCCTGGATCTGCTCGGAATCCGCCGATGTGCTCGACGTCTTCAGGATGCTGTACAGCTTTACGTAGGGGGCCTTGATCAGCTGTTAGCCAATATAATCGGCCGTTTTTAGCGGTTTCATTAACTGGATTTCCACCTGGTTCCCTCGATACTCGCATCGAAAACTATTTCACATTCCTTGTACAATTTTCTCGACTCTTTAAGCTTTCATTTTGCAAGTTGGAGTTAAGTCCAGGAATTCCTTTGAATGTGTTAAAATTGTTGTCGAAGTTTCTTTCAAAAGCTTGCTCTCACGAGTTTCGAACATAGGAAAACATCTTTCTTACTCTTAAATATATTCTTAATAATATAGAAACAGTTCTGAACATTTCTAAGGAGTTCTCGAGTTCTCGAGTTTTTAGATAATTCGCGTCGAACATATATAGATCTCTTCTTCAGAAATGTACAGATTTTTAAATGAAAAAGAAATCCTTCCTGATACAAGCATAGATAGTCCTGAAAAGCTCTCGACAGTTTGCAAGCTACTTCTCAATTACTCCACGCGAATAAAAATGTACTACACAGTTCTGAAAAAGTTTCAAGAGTTTTCCGACTGTTCTCAACATCGATGCAAGGATCGAGGGTGCACTGGAATCACTAACGCTAACTTTTTCTTGGTTTAGATAAAATGAAAACTAAAAGAAGAAAAGAACCGATCGGCCAGAAAAAAAGAAAAGCTCGAAGGAGATATGCGAAAAAACAATTGATACGGTGCTCGGATCCGATGGATGGAATCCAATGATGACGACGATGATAACTTGGTGCGTGAACGTGACGCGAGAAAACATGAAGAAACGTGAAGTGGAAATGAGAAGACGAAGCTGTGCACAGCGTTACGAGCAACCAATCGATAAATATTTAAGATGACGATGACAACGAAAAAAGGAAACGAAAGAAACGCAAGTGCGAACGTGAGGAACAAAATTCTAGAAGAGAATGTTACAGTGTGTTAACGCAGTTAACACGACCGTTCGACAAATCAAACTATGGCTATGTTTGACAGAGACGAACGAGTGCATCGAACCTGGGTGCAGAGGACTCGTAGCTCGCGAGATGAGTCAAAGAAAATACGAAATTATTGCGAAGATGCTGATATCGTGATAAACGAGGATAAAATCAAGTACGTATGTGTCTGTATGAGTTGATTCGATGGTTGATTACACGTAATCACGCTGAACGATTTTTATATCTTATAATGTGTTCTACGAGATAAGGTTTTAAAGACTGAATAAGATTGTATTATATTTAAAAGGAAAACGTGCTCGAAAATTTGAAGAGTGCTTGTAGAAAACACTTGACAAGTGCCAAGAAACAAGTTTCTCAGGAGGAAAAGGAAACCGATGCATTGATGTAGTTCAAATTCAGGAAAAAGAGAAGCGTATCTGTAGAAAAGTGTGTACGTGCCATCTTTTATTTGTAAAGAAAACTTGGTGTTCAATTCATCCAGATAGGTGGCACAGACAAAAGCCAAGCAACAATTAACTAAAGTTCATTGGTACTTATATTTTTCTCTGTAGAGGTGACGTTGTGACACCATCTTCTAGCACTTAAGTTAATAGCCATTTAGGAAGATTAAAATAGCACATAAATTCTATAGTACAGTATTCTTGTCGGTATGTAAGACATTTCCCAATGAAACATCAAAGTTTTTCAATTTTCGCACTTACAGTATCTTCTACGAAGACTTTTCAATTATGTTGTATATTTCACTTTAAAGAATATAGGACAATTTGCGAAAAAAATTGTCAAACTATTAATGTATATAACAAATTAAAGATTTGAAAAAGAAATAGCAGGTATAAAAGTTGAATGTTCTTTGACTCGACTTGAGTGTTTTCTGCAAATGACTAATACAAGATTTCATCAAAGATTGACATATGTCAACATCTACAGAAATGTCCCATAAGCTATAAAAAAGAAAAAAATAATAATAAAACTGTATAACGAAGTTAGGTGATCAAACCTTGATATTTTCAAAGAACCGAGTTAATTAATTAATCTTTCATCCTGACTACACAAACGTTCAGCGTGTTAACGTATAACGAGAAAATAAAATCGTCGCCGTCGATGGCCAATTAGGCGAGAAGAGTTTTAAAATCGAGCCACTTACCTCCCATGATTCCCTCGTCAGCTCGGAGATCTCATCGCTGTCTTGACGACATTTTTCCTCCTCGGTGGCTTCCCCGGTTTTCCCAGCCTCGTGCGGCGACAATTCAGGTGATAGATCCGTGTCAGTGTCCAGCAAGACATATCCCCGTTCTCGCCAATAATTCTCGTCGAGTTCTCCATAAAGCGACGGCACCCACGCATGGATAAACCTGTAGAGGTCGTCCACCCTGCAAACACCAAGAACACGCTTAGTATTAATCAGCGACGCTCATTCAGCTAGTTTCTTTTCTATTCTACGAGAGTTCACCTCGTTCCCTTGCGTGTATTTATCAGGCAAACGTACACGAGAGAATCGACGAGGATTACGAATGTTCTTATCGCACTGATTTGATAACAATAATCGGTAACGTAATATCGGTTGTAACTTTCAATAAACGTTATGTCGTGTTTTAAAGCCTATTGTGAAACGAGATTACACAAATGGATATTTGTTCATTGATTTCTCAAATTAAATTTCAATTTTCTTTATCCGAATAAATTGTTTACTGGATAGTTTAAGGTAACCCAAGGTAACTTCTTCGTTCAATTTTTTGATTCTACGAAATACGTGAATGACTTTATAGCTTTGACCAACACTGTAAATAAATGAACATTACAATTAACACGATATTCTTAACTACCTATATCTAACCATAAGAAATACATTGAGTTACCCAATCACTCAAACATTGAAAGTAAAAGAGAAATCGATTTCACCAGTTTACTACCTTCGATTAACGAACGGTATAATGTTCTGCACGGTATTCGAGAGATTCTGGTTGTAAATGAAATTCACCACGTTGCTGACACTGCTCAATCCCCAATTCATTTTGCTGTCTTGTTAGGTACGGTACTCGTACGCTCAATCCAGTCGTCTCTCAAATTTGACTTTCTTTAACAGATATCAAGACCGTACGAGGACATTTCCTATTTCCTTCAATGACCACGCGGTTCTTCTTCTGCACAGCACGATTTCAGTTCCAACAAAGTTTCAAAGTTTCGCGTTATACAATTCTCTTTAAAACACATTTACAGACACCGAAATAGTTTCGTGAATTTCGAGGTTTCCGCTTTAAACCACTCGGCTGCGCTTTAGAACTTATTTCAAAAAATATCGCAAGTTGTAACACTCGGAATCACTGTTAGACCGATACGCTTTTGAACACTGGACCAGCTTCACAAATTTGATTAACTCTGCGTCAAACGACTCGATCATTCTTTGAAATCAACACCGAACTACTTCGATAAATTTTGTACGTTTAGCTTGCAGCAACTCGGTTATTCCTTGAAACTTGCTTGCAGAATCACAACAGGTTGCACCGGTGAAGAACAAAGCGATTGTGATGCAACCAACGAGGATACCACAGAGGCACTTGTTAGAATCACGTCGCTCGACTGAACAAGAATTAGACGAGTGAATCATGCAGGAATTATGTATATTTATTACGATTAGCCAGCACGATGACGTAAACTTGTTGCAGCTGGTGCAAAATTTAACTGATTTTTTAAAGGCGTAGCCGTCACGGAGTCGCGATATCGCGAGTTACACGTAGTCCAAATGTTATTTCTACGAGGCGTACGAATTAAAAGAGAGGAGTCAAACGAATGCGGAACACAGTCGGTTCCAAGTGAAATTTTTTACTGCGTACAATAGCGTTTTATCTGTTTGACATTGCCCGTCATTGTTCAAAGCATGTCGATTAGGTATATCATTATCACCTGTTCGTTATCGCGGCATCCAACTGTTGCTACAATAACTATTGTCTAATGTTTCAAAGGCGTTTTACGTTAAATAAGATCATTTCGATCATTAGAAACTAGCATGAGTTAATAATTACTGTCATTACAAACAAACAAAATTTTAATTGAAGTTTAATCGTGCGGAATTAAAAAACAAATAGCCTCTTATCTTACTGCTCTTATTATCAAAAACGCAGAGTATTAATAGATTTCAAGGACAATGATTATTATTGAAAAATTGACGCTACAAGCTTCTCAATTTATATTTCAATTTATATTGCACGTAAAAATTATTATTATCCAATAAAGTGTCACGTCTACTTTTATCTATCGCCACTCTGTTACGTGCTACGTTTACAAAATTATATTAACATTCTCAAAACTAAATTCTTTTTAGTCGGTGAGGAAAGATTACCTCTTATTAATTACTTTCTGTACACGATTGGGTCTACTTTATTCGCTTCTAATTTATAATATTCGCTTCCAAATCTTAGAAATCCGATCTACGCAACTTCTGAACCCCAAACCTCGCCATCTACAAGAAAAGCTTAAATCCTTGACCTTTTCCAACCTACAAGAAACTCTTAAATCCTTAATTTCTCTCTGTCTGTATGTCTGTCTGTTTCTCTCTTTCCCCCCTCTCGCTCTCTCTCTCTCTCTCTCTCTCTCTGAACCTGAAAAAATACAAGAATTCCTAAATTCAGAAACGACAATTATACGTGTAAAAAATTCCACAAACTGCTGTGCATTTCTGGTCTCGAGAAGAAGTATTCTTTTTTAAATAAGCCGACCGCAATCAGAAGATGAGAGAACTGCCCATCATCTTGTATTTATTATACTCGTCTTAAGTTCGTCCATCGGAAGACCGCTTTGTACACAATCAGGTAACAGGAAACAATTTGAATATCTGTCTATCTAAAACGATGAAGCGAGAGATTAGCGTAAAACGTCGTTGGGTTTTTTACATCTTTTCCATTCGCGATTCCATTTCGCCTAAGACGATTGTACAGGAAGCTAGTTATATAAAATTACATAAAATGGCACATGAAATAAATATACGAAACTTTAATCAAACCTGTTTGATTTTAAACGATTCTTTGTCACATTTATAATTCGATTATTCATTATTATATTTTAGAACAAATATTGATGAGATAAATGTGCTTGTTTTCTTATTTGCATAAAGAATTAAATCTTGGCTGTATATCTGATACAACAGAGCAATCTTTTTAAACGTTTTTTAAAATTAATATTTTAATTTCACGATAGACGACGACGAAAACGTTGTTTAGTCATAGACACGTAGTAGTATAAGCGCGTTTAAGACAATTTTAGAAACAGCTGGAAATTCTGTCCTGATTCCAAGCAAAAACCAGTTTAAATTTTTTAAAGAGCTGGTGTTTTATAATCATGTCGATTAGTAACTCAGTAAATTCTTCGGGATCTTTTGGTGACAGGTGATCGATATTTTTTATTTCACTGCTATGCGACAATTGTAAATATTTTCACGATCCATAGTTCAGGAAGCTCTGCTCTAGACGACGTTTCAGGTCAAAAGTAAAACTGCCAGTTGCGCGGAATGAAAATACGCTTCTGCGTCGTGTTACCTAATTTCCCAATCACGTGACGGCTACCAGACACTGTTCTTTCGATTTATCCCTACCGTGCAACACGTAGTAATGCTATTATAGTACACAAAACGTTCGCCAGGTCAGAAACATAGGTGTAACGCGATGCGAAATAGTTGTATGTTAGAACGCCATTTATCTTGATGTTTATCGTCCTGATCTCTCGTATTTTTATGTAAATTTATATAACTGTTGATACAGTGCAAGAAGGGAAAGCCACAAGCTTAAGTTTAAGAGATTTGTTTCATTGATTAAGCATCATAACGTGTACTTTACTTTCGAGATTTTATATATTTTCATGCATTACGTGCTTTCACGCGAATTTTTACACGCAAAAAAAAAAATTCTCGTGATTGGCATAAATATCCGCAGTTTATTTACAATAACATTATTCGATTGTAATCCACGCGTTCCTGCTCGCTGGAAGATTTGATTTCAACCCACGTATTATTAAATGTTTATTCTTCGTTGTTGTTAAACATAAACAACGCTGACTATAAAAAGAGCGAATGAAATTAAAAGTCGAAGACATAATTTTCAAGAACGTCAGAGGAAATTAATTACATAACGTCCAAGGATAACTTACTTATACATATAACAACAGTTTACTGATTTTCTTTTAAGTCTCATTTTTCGCTTAAACAATAGTCGTTCACGTCAAGGTAAGTGAATTCAATTCCAGAACTATCAACATTTTGATTCTATGAATGGAGTGCAGATAAGTAGAGTACCTAAATCGTATATACAGTGGCGAATAAAAGAAAGTTCAGAGGACATAATTTTACAAAACGAGAAGAAAGA